TCTCTCTCTCTCTCTCTCTCTCTCTCTCTCTCTTTAACGATTTCTTTCTCTCTCTTCAATCTCTGTCTCAGCCTGAACTTTAACATATGTGATATTCTTATCCTTTATCCATCTATGCCTTCTCTATCTGCTTTCGTTCTATCTCTCTCTCGCTCTCTGCTGGTGCTTGCTATAATTAACTGAATATTTATTACTGCGGTAGATAAAATGTTATGCGGCTATTATTTTAGTTTTATGGCCAAGCAAGAAGCCAACTGCCAGGCAGCCCAGCCAGGTGGGTTTAAGCCAAGTTAACGGCCAACAACAATACGGCCGCTGCAACTTGAACAGAGAGAGAGAGAGAGAGAGAGAGAGAGAGAGAGCGGGAGAAAAGTGTGGCTGTGGGGGCGGCTTGGAACAACAAGAATCCGAGCCAAAATGCACTCACGGACACTGACAGTCGGGACACAAACCATTGAGCAAGCGCAACCAATTAAGTCAACAACCACGGGCCGACTCCAGTTCGAGTTCGGGATTGTAATGCGGCTTGGGTTGCTTACGCAGAAGACCCCCTCTCCCTGGCAGGTGAAAAAAAAAAATAAATTAAAAATAAAATACCTTCGCTAATTGTTTTAAGGCCGCCAAGAGCAACAGCAACAACAACGCCGGCAACGCAATAAGGTGTGAAATTCAAGCGCATAAATCCAAGACGCAGCCAACGTTGACGCCGAAAAAGTTTCACCAGTTGTTGAGTTGCTCCGAGTCCCTGCTGCTTGCTGCTGGCTGCTGGGCACGCCTCCAGCCAGTTGATAAGACCAAAAAGGCTGGCACTCTGTTCGCTCGCTGGCCCGTAAAATAATAACGACATGAAAATTACGCATACGCCGTGTTGTTTTACATTGTCTACGTGCGGCGGCCAAATAAGACGGCTTATTAATATTATTACTCATACGCCACGGGCAAGTCCTAGGCGAAGGACAAGGGCAAGCTGCCTCCTGCCAGCTGCTGCTGTTGCTGTTGTTATATAATTATAATTGTTTAATGAACTGCACGGGTCTGTACCTAGAAGTAAAGCTGATGCCACAAAATGCGGCAGCTTGCGGGCGCTGAATCGGAACCAGAGTAGCTGCTGGGCGTGGCAAGTGCGAGGCCATTCGGCCGAAAGGCGTTGACGGTGCCTGCAGCAACAAAGAGTAGAAAGAGCTACAAAATGAGAGGCGGATGTTGAAGCAAAGGATGTTCTCAAGCGAAGGAAAGAAAGGAGAGCACGAGAAGATAGGCTAAGAGGATCACTTAGTGAATGCGAGAGAGAAGAGTATGGTAGACAATAGAGAAACTTTCGCCAAAAATGTTAGAGAGCAGAACGAGAGAGGGAGAAAGAAAGCAACCCTTGTCGCTCTAGCCTAGGAACCACCTAGGGGCCATCTTAACTCGAGGTTGGAAACTTACCTGACACCTCCGCATTCCGAATCCACTAAAAACTCCCCGTTACCTGCATGACAATCAGCACAATGATGACCACAATGACGACGATGACAATGATGTAGAAGTATATGCACATTTCAGCAGAAAAATATGAGTACGACTCGTACAGTTTAATATTGAATATTGAAGTAAAACTCGTAACTGTGTGAAGCATAGAAAACGACGAGAGATATGAAAAGAACAGAGAGGGAGAGAAAACAGGGTATATATTGTGGCTGTTTCGGAAATTGATAGACATCGCTTTGGGCCAATTAGTGTCAACACACATAACAATTGGTCTGTGCTGCAAATCAGCCGGCCGCAGAGGATAGGCTACTCTCTCCTTCCATCCCCATCCCCATCTCCATCCCTATCGCCTCTCGCGCATCTTGCACCTAACGAACCCCCAACAATGGGCAACGGGTATTACAACAATGTCCCGAATTGACAAAAACCATTTACACTCATTCTAATTTTCATTCTCTTGGCCCTATTCTCTGCTGCCCGCTGAACGACTTTCCGTGGCGTATAACCGTTAACGTTTTTGCGCCTCTCCTCTTCTCTTCTTTCCTCCTCGCCTCCTGTTCCATTATAGCCCTAGCCCCCTTTGCGCGTTATAGTAGCCAACTGGCCTGGCTCTTTCCCTTGTTCCACATCTCGCTCAAACAGCACATTATGAAGCCCGTCATTATTGGCACTGCCGGAAAACAGCAATGTGTGTGTGTGTGATTGTGTGTGTGCGCGCGCTTTTGTTGTTGCTGCTGCGTGTAGCTGTCTGTACTTAGCGGTTATAATAATTAAAATGAGCCAAATAATTTCAGCCAAAAAGCATCGATGAAAGGCTAAAATGCTCAATAAATGGCAGAAACGCGCGCTGTGTACTTCGTTGGGGGAATGGAGGGGCCAGGGGCCAGGGGCTAGGGGCTAGTAACTCAATGCTTCTTGTCAACCACCCAAAAGTAGCCCCCCCCCCCCTCGGCAGCCAAATGCAAGCCCCAGGGGGCAATTAAAGCGCAAAAAAAACTCAAGTCAAGAAAAACTTGGCCAAAAGTTTTCCCATCGATGACTTGGCAGCCTTTGTAGCTGTATGGCAAGTAGGTGGGGGCGGTGGGGGTATGGGCGTGGGGGCACACTCAGTGGAGTGCTGCTGCCATGTGATATCGATGTCATCCACGGCGAGAGCGTGTGCCAAGTGGGCGCCCATAGCAGTCGGCTATGCGTAAAAGTGTTAACCAAAAGCAGTTAAAATTACAAAAGGCAGCAGACGCCATCGCAATGGCAACAGGCCGCCAAACGGCAAGGGGCTGTGAGGGGTGGTACTTTGAAAAATTAACACCTAATATCCGCAAAATCGCATCAAAGTATTGTTGTGGAGTGCGCCCCCACGCTTACCCAGCAGCGAGTTTCGCCTTTTGTTAGATGGAAAACTTTGCAATTTCTTAAAAGTGTCGCCCCTGCCACACGCTCCCCGCCCCTGGTTGGGAAATGTGGAAAACCCCCGGCAGCTGTTTTACTTAGTTGTAGGCGTTATTAGCAACACTTAAGATGGTCCACGGGCAGGCGGTGCTCGGAGTGTGGCTGCTTGTGGGCGGCGTGGGGCGAGGGGCGAGGCTGGGGCCAACTGGAACTTGCTTTTTTCAACACCTACGCAACCAAAAATCGTAGACAATGGCAAGCTTTAGCGCAGGGGGCAGGGCTGGCACTTTGTTGGTTGATTGCCTGGTTGGGTGGATCGGTGGTTGGGTGGTTGGGTGGCTCAGCTTGGCGACGCCAAAATTTGCTATTGTTTTACTGCGAGCTGCTGTTGTTGTTTGGCATTGTTGTAAATTGACACCACAGCAATGAGTTAATAAGGCGATAAAAATTTTACCACCATGAAGCGAAACTTGGCGTAAGGGGCGCCAAGGCGGCGCTGGGTGGCCGCAGTGGAAGGGTGTAGCGGGCTGTTGAGCGAGCCCTGTTAGGTGGGGCATCTGAGAGGCTGAGGTGTAGTCACTAATCCTTAAGGCAGCTGAAAATCAAAGCGTTGCTTGAACCCCAACCCCTGCCGCTCAGCAGTCCACAGCATGAAATAAAGCGAGGCAAGAAACAACCTGATCCGAAAAACGAAACCTCAACTGGTTCCGAAGAGCAATAAAGCCTGCTTGAACATGTGAGTATATGCAATGTGTACATATAGGTTTGTATATAGTATTTATTTATATACATTTATGTAAATATATATGCATATATATTTTATACATATTTTTAATTATTTTCATTTCATGTCTTTTAATTAACATGCCTAATAAAACACATGCCAATGGGTTGGGCACAGCCGTAGGGGTATGCTTGGTGGTGTGTGTGAGCGAGGGGGTGGCTGATGTGGTGGGGTGGGGTGGGGTGGCTGTACCTGGAGCCTTATATGCACATACGTGTGTGTACATGGCAAAAGAGCATAAAAAGATATTGTCGGTAGTCGACAGGCGGGCATCACACAGTCTGATGTATGCAAATAACACCCCCCAGCACACTCGCACACACGCTCTTCCCCTACCCCTCTCTCTCTCTCTTTCTCTATTGCTGTCTCTCTGTGTGTGTGTGTAAAGAAAAACTTGCAAAGCCTTTGAATCGTGCGCTGCCTGCTAAAAATCCCAAAATATAAATAATTAAAAAGAAAATGTTGCTGGCAAATCAAGCGAGAACCAGTGCCAGAACCCGGCACCCAAAAAAACGGAACGGGCTGAGACGATTCTTGTAATTATGAAGCCTGCAGCTCCCCCGCCGCACCCTTAGCCACAGCTCTAGCAGACGAAACGCCGTTGGCCTATTGCCACCGCACCAGCGCTTTCTCTTTTGTGGTTTTTACAAATGCATAATGCTGATTACGGGCAATAATTTTATGAATTTATGTAAACGTTACCAGTCGCTTCCAGTCTGTGTGAAGGTGTGCCTCCTCCTGATAAGCGGGATAAGTTGCCTGCCATTTTGATATGTGGAAACACCCGCACACACACGGACACACACACACACCACACACACATGTGCACATGTATGAGTGTGTGCCCATAAACTCCTTAAATGTCCTCCTATCTGCAGTCAAGTTTAACATAAGAGTCTATTTCTCCCACAAGTGTCATAAATTTGCGAAGAAATTGTCAAATTTTATATCATTTGCTTCTTTTTTGTTTGTTTCTGCTTTATTTTTATTTATTTTATTTTGCTACATTTTATGCCCAGTTGTTTATAGTCGGATACCTTCAGCTCTTTTCGACTAGAAAACTTTTTATGACATAAAGTTAATACGTAGAAATAATAAAAATGTTTCCTTTATGATCATGCTTCATAAAATCTGTTGAAACTTTTAAATATAATTAGCCAAATAATTATTTGAAAAATTCTTAAGCTCGAAGTAATTTCTATATCCGTCTTCATATCATTTAAAAATATTTATATATTTCGGAATTCAACATTTTTTCTTTAATTTATGTACAAAACTTAGTATATTGTAAAATGTTTTTAAATCAAAATTGAAAATTCGAGCACATTTGACTCTTTTTTGACGTATTTTGCTTCCTATCTGATTTTGTTTTTGTTCAAATTTGTAAATTCTTCTTCCAAATTTGTTCGTTTAACTGTTTAGCATGTCTGATGACTTTCTGACATTCTTGAAATTCAGCATGCATTGCTTCAAATATATCTACATATACTTTGTGTGTGTCAACCTTTTGGAGCATCTGATACAGGGCCAGGAGGGAAGCTCCAATTGAAGGCGACCAGCTGAGCTTTCGCTATGGGAGTATCAGGAGATGCTGTTGCAGCCACAATACGCATACGGAATGGAATTGGTCGAGCTTATTTCCCCTAATGGCCCTGGTCGAGTTGTGTCAAAGGATCTCAGGAAGTCGAAGGCAACGTGTTTCAAGAGCTGCCACAAAATTCGGCCAAGATGTGAACCGCCCTTAGAGAATGAAGTCAGTTTAGGTTTCCAATTCGATCACATTTTGGATAATTTTGATGGCAACTGAATACGAAACTGTTTACCAAATTAAAACCAATGCATTTTTATTTAGCTTTTTATTGAACAAGGCTTGAAGCTTTCATGTGCTTCAAAAGGCTGCCAAATTTTTAAATAGTGACAAAGGAAAGTGAAAGCTTGACAGGGCTGGGTAAGCTTTAATATTGATTGGGAAATTTAAAAGCTCTTTAATCAATTAAGTGGGCCTTAAAGTTCAATTCATGATTAAGTGAGCGTTAAAGCCCCGTAATGTATTAAAGGAGCTCTTAATTTTGCACTAGCTTTGAAAGCTATATACTCGCACGTAAATTTCAGTCATTTTGATCAAGATTCAGCAGAAAAGTTTAGAACTAGCAGCGTCTACTTAAATGTCAGTTACGGTCTCTCTACACTGCCAGTAGTAGGAGTAGGTGACTAGCCAGAAGTAAACGCTTAGCACTGCAAGAGGATATAGGTAAAATAATGGCAATAAGCAAATCGGCAGATACTTGCATATGTTTATACATGTAACAGTAAGTGTGAACATCGAATTGCGTCGACATGGAACCCAGACATAGGCGGAAATGATGAGAAGTAGAAATTTCACAATGTCCGTTGCCAAATAAACCAACAGCAGCGGCGACATTTCCTGCAATCCAATACGAATACAGCTCGATACACAAATATATATACACATACACATATATATATTTATATAATTGAGAATTTAATCAATATATATACTCAATATATTTTCAATATATATATATATATTTTCAATATATATATATATTTTGATTAAATTCTCAATTGGGCTTACGACTGCGGCGCTGAGGAATAGCATGATAACGCCCAGAAAGTGGGCCAGATAAATGATGGTCGCCACGGCTTCGAGCGTTGGATCTGTGGAACTGGTGGCTTTTAATGAGGTGCCCAATATTGAGGATTCGCTTACTCTTGCCATAGGACAAATGAACCATATGCATGCACATGTCAAAGAATGCAACCAGAAAGCATCCGGAGCGCAGGTTCACAAAGTAACAGCATTTGGCCAGTCGAAGTTTCATGTTGAGCTGACAGACAACTCGCAGCTAGCTGAAGTTTACAGTAATTTGAGTCTATCCCCCTAGCTCCCCCCCCCCCCCCCCCCCCCCCCACACACACAGTCTGACTAATTCCCCAGCCAATTCCCTGGCAGGGGGTTCCCCTAACCTGGTGCTCAGCTCTTTTGCATATTTCAAACTTTGCGCTAGTTGCTTGTAAAATTCTACAGAGCTGCAAAATATGACGCGCGCCCCCACAGCCCCCACCCATAATAGCTGCACCCCTCCTGTACACCAAGCTTCCCCAGTCGACATTAAAAAAGATAAAGTTTTATTTGCTTTTTTTCAAACAGAGTTGTGGTTCAGGGGCATTCCCGAACATATTCAAGATATACAACCTTATAAGAAAAACTACCAAAAGAAATGCTGACTTCAGGTTGCCGAATATTGTATACCCTTTTTGCAATAAATCAATACACTTTGGAAGAATATAATTTAGCCAAATACAACATTTTACCAGCCATAGTACTGCGGACTATGCTATCGTTCATTTGTATATACATTTCAAAGGTCCGTTTTAAAATCTACTCGCATTTGAAGCTCCGATATATCTCCTTCAATATGGCTTTATTATAAGAGCCCGCCGTTCCAGAGTGTAAAGTGAAAGAAAAAAAGAGGCTGCGATTGTTGTTTGGACTGTGGCGCAAATCAAATGAGACGTAAGCAAATAATATAAATAAATGCTAAAAGTAATAAATATGTAAGCAAATAGCCGCATAGGCAAAAATATATATATATATATATATTAATAAAAAATATATATTAATAAAAAAAATATATAAAATAGAAAGCAGGCAAAATGATGTCGAAAGGGGACCGAAAGCCAAATGTAATAATTAAATTGCATTTCCGTCTGTGGTCGTTGTCCTTCAACAAAATGGCGGCGGCGAAGTGTTCATGTGTGTGAGCATAAGTGTGTGTGGCTCTGTCTGTGCGTTGGATTGTGTGTGTGTGTGTGTGTTTGTGTGTGTTTGTGTGTTGTAAAAATATTTATGTAACCGCTGCACACTCATTGGTTTTTGCTTTATTTTTTATAGCTGGTCGAAAGGCAAACGGCGCCTCCGGTGCCTCCACAGAACCGCACAGTTTACAATATTATTGCCAGCTCTCATTCTCTCTCTTTCTTTCGCTCGCCCCTTCTCGCTCCCTCTTGCGCGCACACTCTCTACATGTGCCTGTCCTTGTCTTTTGCATATTCTGTCTCTGTTGCTCTGGGCTATATTTATGCATGGCAGTGCTTAAATTTATTTATCATTCAATTAAATATTTAAAATACCAAAAAATGCTTTCACCACTGTCCAACAACCACCCACACACACATACTCACACCCACACACACACACACGCACACCTTTAATATTGAAATTGAAATCATAAATAAATGAGCAAATTTGTGCTGTTTTTTTGGTTTTTTTGGTTTTCATTCTGCGAATGTCGACGGGTTTATTTGGTTTGGACGCGGTGCCAAGCGGCGTATGCGTAACGTGTATGTGTGTGCCAGTATGCGTGCGTGTGTGTGTGTGTGTGTGTGCTCTGTGTATTCTGTACATTTTATTGTTATTATAACAATGTTTTCTTTTTTCTGTTCACGCAGTGTTTGTAAAATTAATTGACATTTTATTTGTTAATTAATTGTTATAGCTGTTGGCCGGCCAGCAAAATGGCCAAATGGCTTTTCATTATTGTTATTACAAATGCCGCGGCCATTATTATTTGCTCGTTACGTGTGTGCGTGTGTGTTTGTGTGTAGCGAAATTTAATGCATTTGTAATTTAGTTGTAGTTTTAATTGCAAAAATTCTTAATTTTCTAATAATTTATTTATTCGCATGCAAAGCTCTGCGTTTGGCTCAGCTTAGAAGCGAGCGGTCTGTGGAGGGAGGTAGGGCAACCGGTTAGAAGTTGTAATTCCCATATAAATAGTCAAGCTCTTAACATTCAGCGGACAGATCATAGTATAAGTAGTTGCAGTGAGCAAGGCGGGAATGTGAGAACTGAGCAGCTAATGGGTTATTCCAGGAAATATATAAATACAATTTCTCTATGTAGAAAAAAGCACAATTGATTATCTTATTTATATGAATTAATACCCTTCTAGAGTGTATTATAATTTGTTCAATAAATGTATAGGGCATAGAAAAAGGCGTCTCAAAGTCCATCATAAATATATATACTCTTGTTCAATACTAATAGTCTGTCTATTTTTGACAATCGGACGCGATCCTCGTCTAACAAAGGTCGGAGATCAGATAAACTTCTTCAGCAGTCGATACGCCGTCAAGGTGCTGCAGCATCCGAACGCGGCCGTCAGGATCCTGGCTGACCCCGTCAGACAGAGGCACCACCAAGGGCTATACCTAGACGAGCTTCGTACGAGGATAATTATTTAAATATCTCCTTCTCCTTCTTTGTAAATAACCCAACATTGTAAATAACATATAAGTTACATGATTGTAACTATGCATTCTTCCCTTATTTATTCGCTTGGATCAGAAGGCACTGATCGATTGAAATATTTAATTAAATATTATGATTCTGTCAATAAGTTCAAGTATGACAACCCTTTTCCTTAATTAAGATATCTTGAGCAAGCTCAGCACTTACTTATTTGAGTATGTTTCCTACACGTAAACAAAATCTTGTGAACATAGTTCCAGAAGAATATTTAATCCACCAAAACAAACCGTTGTATCTTGTTTTACAATATTTTCGCTTAGCGTACACCAGACATTGTGGTTGCTTGAAGTTGATCCAATCATTTAAAGAGACATCCGCATCAACAATGTTCAAATGGATGATGGGCGTCTTTGAAGCGTTGCCCAAATGAAAATGGAAAACTGCAACAGCTGAAAAGATTATAAGGGCACAGTTATTCGGACTGGCGGAGAGCGGGGCGCGAGGCAGCCGAGGTCCCATCAATTTTTACAACTTTAAATACCAGCAGGAAGTAACTTAAAAACGACCTCGCCGCCTCATCCGCACTCACATTCACATTCTCATCTGCATGATTCCTGCAAGCCCCCACCCCCCTTTGAATGCGTTCGAGAACGCGACTGGCAATAAGAAAAAGTCATAACAAAATTTTACGACAACTTTGGCGGCGTTTTCATTTCGAGCCGGTGTATATATGCTAGTTGGGCTTCTGGTCGGGTACTGATGCTGCCTCTGAAACGTATGGTGGTGGCAGTGGGGGAGGATGAGGGGTGTAGTGGTAATGGGTGGTTCGGTGGTTGCCCATTGTCGGTTAGGTGAGCTGCAAAATGCAAAACAAAGGAAAATTACCAGGCGAAGCGGAGCACAGACAAAATATTCTAATGGCTGCCATCCCGCTGCTAGCCGCTGCCTCAGACGGGCCTTGTTTGGGGCGAAGGGTGTGGTCGTGGGGGTTTGGCATATAATAATCATCTATATTCATGGATTAGGATTCAATTTTTATGCCACACGCAAAAGCTGTGGAAAAAACACAGCAACAACAATGAGGGTTAAATTGAAAATAAAGCGACGACGCGACTTCGCCCAAACGCTGCCAAATATGAAATTATAAAGACTCCAAAAGAATAGCACGGCGAAGAACAAAGAGTGGGAGGGAGATGAGAAAAAATAACAAAAAAAAAAAAAAATAATTCAAAAATTTATGCAAGAAAATATTACCAAAGAGCTAATAATTTTCTCCCGCCTTTCAAGGTGGCAAAAGCGCCGCGTGAGGCGCGCTTTTTGTGTGTGAGTGGGCGGAGAGGGGGTGCGGAGAGTGGTGGGGCAAGGCAGGGCAGGGCAGGAGCAGGGGCACGTTAAATGCGCTGGTTGAGCCAGCAGCGAACGTTCCGGGCTTCTATTAATGAATAATATCGCGGCTAAGGCATCGGCATAGGCATCGGCTTCAGGCATTGGCATCAGCGGATTCGGAGCTGAAATCGGAGGAGGAGGCGAAGACAGAGACTG